GGGACTGAAGCCAAATAAGGGAAGACTAAAGTGCAGTGAAAGAACAGTTAATTCCCTAATTCCCAGTGAGAAATCTGGTCTAGGGACTCCTGGGTGGCTCAGTTGGTTAAGCGTCTGCCTTTGGCTCAGATCATGATCCGGGACCGAGTCCCGCATCGGGCTCCTTGCCCAGCAGTGAGCCCGCTTCTCCCTCTGCCTGCCACACTCACTCGCTCTCTCTGACAAATTAAAAAAAAAAAGAAGAAGAAGAAGAAATCTGGTCCATAAAACCGAAGAACAGAAATGAATACAGTCAAGTAGTTAAATGACTGGTCTTTTTTCAAGGAGAAGCCTGTGGGCATGTGTCATAGACAGAAAGGGGCCAAGTGAAAGGGAGAGAATAAAGACTGAGCAGGGAAAGTAGCGGAGGCCAGAGGAGGACAGGCACGGGCACACCGAGAAGAGGCTCGGACGGCAGCTCTTGCCCCACACATGGGGAAGGGCAGACAGTGTAGCTGCTCCGGGTGGGCCACAGGCAGGGACTGTGACTCTGGTATCCCACGATCCAGTTACAGTGTCATACCAGTCATCAAACACCAGTGTCTGCCTTCATACAAATACCACCATTTCAGTATTTGAATTTGGGTGTCAGATGCAAATTATTTACATCTTGAGATGTAAAAATAAATAAATAAATAAATAAATTGCTGAATAAAACTCATCTTTACTCAAAATTAGTTCCAAACTGAAAGTTCCCTCGTTTAGAAAGTATTCCTTTGTGCTCTCATGATCTGCAGGATGAAAATGCCAACAAGGCAAACAATAACTCCTACTTAAGTCCCAGAGCTCAGATGCACACATGGCGGCAGCGACCTGAATGAAAGCAGCGTGGGAACCCCAGCCGCAGGGCCACGCGGCCACACGGCCACGCAGCCGCACGTGCCGAGCCAGGGAAGATGCAGATGCTCCTGTGAAGCAAGGGCTACTACCAGCTACCTGGAAAAGGCCTGGTCTCCCTGCAAGAAAACAACCAATAAAGCCGCTCAACAAGAGTCATCACACAAGAAGTGAAATTTGGAGATAAAGGAGTCAGAGGAAAATGCTCACAACTGGCTTAGGACAGTCTCCTCGCCATGACTTTACTGTATCAAGTCAGAAAAGCCTTTCCCACAAAGTGGGAAATGTGCACAAATATATACGTGCAACTTAAATAAGACACCTTGTAAAACCCTGGTTTTAGAAAGATCGTAAGGGCGCCTAGGTGGCCCAGTTAGTTAAGCGTCGGACTCTTGATTTCGGCTCAGGTGGCGATCTCAGGGTCCTGAGATGTAGCCCTGTGTCCTGTGTCGGGCTCCAGGTTCAGCAGGGAGTCTGCTCGAAATGCTCTCTCTCCCTCTCCCTCTGCCTCTTCCCCTGCTCATGCATGCTCGCTCTCTAAACAAAATGTTCTTTAAAAATAAATAAAAAATAAGAGATTGTATTTAAAGATAAAATTGTATTTTATTATAAATTTTCACTAGCATGTCTTTTATCTGTGAATGGTTAGGTTTGTTGTTTTTTATTGTTACTTGTTAATGCATATTAGAATACTATATATTTAACAATTAGATGTTTATAAATACATTTTAATGAGTTAAATTTTATTTTTATAAATGTTACTGTTTTACAATGTATTTATAGAGATTTGAAATGTATTAAATGTATTTAGCTTCACTGATTTTTTTAATTGCTTTGATGGTAGAATACCAACAAACTCAGTAACGTAATGATCACTTCATTCTGAGACAGCAATCATGAGTAACATGAGTCACCTGACAGCCTCTATCTTTGCTATAAAGAGGCTAGAACAGGAAAGTTGGGCGGGATGGAACAGGAGTGCAACCTCATGAAAATGGAAAAAAGTTTAAAATTTCTCAAAGAAGGCCTTCTCACAGTTCAAGATAATAAATAAAAGAAATGCCAAGAAACAGTAAAGCAGAAATACAATAACAAGAATTTGTACTGGGTGAGGTAATAGGCTTTTGTGGCTTTATCAACCTTGCTATGCAACCAGAGCAGTTCTTTGGACTTCCAGAATACACAGCAAATTATAAACTGCCTTTATTAAATCTGTCTGCTCTCCCTCAACTAAATGGACTTAATGCTTCTTGTACTACATGCTCTGTCCAGGGAAGGAATAAGAAAAAAACTGAGTAAGTCACTAGAAGCATAAACTGCATAAATGAAAGGATCCAAGTGGTCAACAACTACTCTTTCCAAGGGTTTGTAAACCGGGGTTTATTTGTAACTGTAAGTAGAGAGTGACCCCCCCCAACTTTTTTACCTGATTATAGAAAAAAAAAAAAAAACACCCAATGTAGAAAGCCCTGTCAGAAGTTCAGTTATCTTGCTTCAAAGTACACTGAGATATAACATTTTTATAATACATCTTACACATGAATGTCTACCAGTGAAGGAGAGATTCTTCCCTCTCCATTTTCAGAAGTCCACTCTCACACAGTGGCATGAAAAAAGTAAATTTAAATATCCTATCCTTTTAAAATCTACTGGATGTAGCTGCAAAGCAAATCGGTTGAAACTTCCAGATATCCAGCAACATTCAGCCCTTGCTTATACGGTTATCAAATTGAATCCTGACGATAGCTTACTTCTAACAATGGGACAAAAAAAGCAAATGATACTTATATTACATAGTTTAGAAAACATGAATGAAAAATCTCTTCCAACATGCTGTAGCACCATAAGAGAAAAAAACCTGAGCCTTATCAAAACATTAGACGAAAATATAATTAAAACAAGATAATTAGATCCTACTACAATATAGAACAATTTGGAATAAATTCCTATCTTGGGATCCCTGGGTGGCTCAGTTGGTTAAGTGTCTGCCTTCGGCTCAGGTCATGATCCCACCGTCCTGGGATGGAGTCCCGAATGCGGCTCCTTGCTCAGCAGGGAGTCTGCTTCTCCCTCTACTTACTGCTCCCCCTGCTTGTGCTCTCTCTCTGACAAATAAATAAATAAAATCTTTATAAAAGAATAAATTCCTATCTTAAAAGAACCACCAAGAATACAGCTGACCCTTAAACAATGCGGGGTTAAGGGCGCTGAGCGCCCCCTGCACCGTGGGAAATCTGCATATAACTTGGGGTTCCCCCAAAACTCAACTAATAGCCTACTGTTGACAGGAAGGCTTATCAATAACATACACTGATATCGATTAATACATATTTTATATGTGTATTATATACTGTGTTCTTATAATAAAGTAAGCTAGAGAAAAGAAAATGTTAAAATCGTAAGGAAAATACATTTATAGTACTGTATTGAAAAAAAAATGCACATCTAAGTGAACCCATGCACTTCAAACCCATTGTTCAAGGGTCAACTGTATATCAAAATATTAAAGACAAAAATCATATTATATTGTGCCTGTCCCTTCCCTTCCCATCTCCAGTTTTTTTTAAACACAAGGATCCTTAAGTCCACTTAAATACAGTCACTGCACACTGCTGCCTTTATTTTACAAGGCCAGATTTTTCCTAGCTGCCTAAAAGGGTATTATTAATAGCCACACCTACCACTATTTATATCTCAAAAAATCACTTTATGACTAAAACTCTGATGAAAGGCCTGGAACATTACATTCAAAATCTCTCTCACTCACAAAGTTACTTAACCAAAAGTAGTTTCGTTTGAAAATAGCAAGTTAACAACAGATAATGAGTTTAAATGACAGAAGGCTAACGGATAAACACTAAGAATACATTTCATGAATCAGCATTTTAGTTCAATTTCAAAAGTGGAAATGGCTAGCAGGGTCAGCTGCACTCAGGAGTGACAGGCAAGAGAGAAATCACTTTTAACCAGGAAGTTTTAGGGAAGTCTTCAAAGAGTAGGTATCTGCTGGTTCTTGAAAGGTGGGTACGGGTCTGACCAGTGGGCTCCAAGCTCCCTGAAGACTTTTTAGGGAGGCTGCCTGCTGGGAAGACTAACCACAAAGTACATGGCACATCTCCAGTTTGAGTATTGCGTATGAGCAAGGGAGTGGTCTCTAAAAGGCCTGGAGGCTGACTGGGGCCAAATCAGGAAGAAATCTCAACATCCGGCAGAAGAGGATGGACTGAAGTCAGTATGCAGGGGCAACTCACTGAGGATTTCTGAGCAGTAAAAGAGAATTCAATTTCAAAAGATTAGTTAGGTGGTGACTGGCCAAATGAAGCCTGGGTGGGAGTGGAGACCTAGGAGAGGCTGAGCGCCAAAACTCTCCCACTAGAAGAGATCCCAGAGGCCTCAATTCAGGAGACCTAATTGGAAATGAGGAGAAAGTTTCCCTGGTACAGGGAAGGCATTTAAAAATGCCGCCGAGGCTCTGCATACAAGTGACTAGGTGATTCTATTAGCATAAATTAAGACGTTAATAAGACCAAAGGAACGGGTTCTGGCATGCTAATGAACTTAGTGTTGGCATCCCACCCTGCTGCAGTACCCTGTACTGTCAGATTGGTTATTCCTCTGCGTTCCTGAGGGCTACTTCCTACAAGCCAGAGCACGTTTTTAAAAAGTGAGAGTCACGTTTCATAATCCATATACATTTGGCAAAACACACGGGTCGTGCAAAGCTGAATTTCGGTAAGCACTTTGGGACGAGCGGTTTCAACAATGAAATGTCCGATGCTGTTGTCCTCAGGGAATACGAAAAACCTCCCACTATCCTGTGTTAAAAACTTTCTACCCGGGATGAGTACCTGGAAGCCCATTCCTCGGCAGCATCCCGGTGCTCTCGGACCGGAGGTTTCCAGCGGACGCCGTGCTGGGCGCTCCCTTCCCCTCCCCCATGAGGAGCCGGGCGAGGCCGGGCCCGACCCGGGAAGAAGCGCCCTCCACCCTCTCCACCCCCAAGGAGCCGGGGCGGGCTCCCCTCCCCCTCGCCGGCCGCCGGGGCCGAGCGCTGCGCTCCCGGCGGCCGCGAGCCTGGTACCCAGCGCACCGGCTCCGCAGCCGGCCCGGCCCGTCCTGCTCACCTCGGCCCGGGCTGCCTCGGGGCCCTGCACTGCCGCGGGCTGCGGCTGCAGCTGTTGGGCAGGCGCCGGCGGTTCCTTGTTCCGGTGGCTAAGGTCTTCGTCGGGAACAGCGCCTACGCCGGTCGGGGCCCACAGCAGCGCGAGCAGCAGGAGCAGAAGCAGCCGGGGCGCCGATGCGCGGCCACTCCCCCGGGCCGCCGCCGCCGCCATCCCGCCGGCCGAGACGGCCACGCACGGGCGCCGCAGGAGGAAGTGAGGGCGACGGGAAGCCTCGACCCCGAGCCGCCCCCGCCGTGCGTCCCTCACGCCTCGCCGCCGCCGCCGCCGCTTAGTGAGAAATCGGCACCATGCGGGAACTGGCAAGGGCGGGCGAGAGGCTTAATACAGGCCGGCGTCCGCAGCTGCCGGCTCGGTCCTCCCCTTCTCCCGCGGCGGCCACAGGACTCAGCCAACTGTCTCGCTGCGGCCCAGCCCAATTCCTCGGGGCCCCGCCCCTGCCCGTGACAGCCTCCCATTGGCCCGGCGTCCTCCTCGGCGTCGTGACGTCCTCGGGCAGGTTGAGGTGCGGCTCGCGCCCTCCTCCCATTGGACCCAGCGCTCCGGGGAGGTACCGGGCCGCGTGACGTTCCTCTCTTCGCATCCTTCTCGCGCTCCACGCGGCTCCTTCCTCCCGGGTGTCTGTCCACCGGCCCGAGACCTCACGGCCCCGTTGCTTCTGCTCCCACCCGCGTCTTCTGCCCTAATATCCGCGCCGGCCTACGCTGCCCCTAGCCTGCCCTAGGTGTCAAATTAGTGGGAGCGCGGTGGTTACGTGGCACTCGCTGTGGGAACCGCCACACCTAGCCCGGTGCCGCACGCCCTCACGATTCTCGGTGCCGCCTCGAACGTGTGGCCATCTGCTGAGGGCAGTGTTCTTGGAGAGTCAAATGCGATTATTTAAAAACAAATCTCTGAAATGGGACTTCGGAAGTAACAGACGAAAATCCTCTAGACTTTGTTTTAGATATTATTTGTTTCCCTATAATTATCCCCAGACCGGAAACATTTAAAGCCTTTCCGTTTTGCATGTTTTATACTGCACCTATCTTAGACTGGTCTCTTAACATGTTTGGCTTTTTGAAATTAAGTGTTTGCGGGTGCTTGGGTGGCTCAGTCACAGCGTCCAACTTTTTTGGGGGGGTATACAGCGTCCAACTCTTGATTGTGTCTCTGATCATGATCTCAGGACCCTGAGATCCAGGCTCACGTGGGGCTCCAAGCTGCTTAAGAGTCTCTCCTCCCTTTGCCCCTCCCCTAGCCCCCAATCCCGCGCTCCCTGTATAAATAATAATAATAAAAATAAAAAAAGAAATTGCTTAGGAATTTTGAAGGGTGGGTATTGGGGCAGACAAGAGTAGAAAACAGGAAAGGACGGTTGTTGGTTGGGCTTGAAAGTATTTGTACATCTGATAGAAAAAAAAGTTGAGCTATTTAGTTATCGGAAGTTTGAGTGCTAACCGTGCCCCAAGCAATAATCTAAATACTTAATGTAAATGCACATACATTAAACCTGTACTTTGTGAAGAGCTATGGAAGTTATCTGTTAAACCCTGGAACAAGAAATGAATCCACCAAAACAATCTGTGGCAAAGTGGGCAAACCCACTTTGAGTTCACAGAAGATACCACCTTATGTAGTCAGGTAGTAAAGTTTTTGTGCATGCTGTTCTTCCTGTCTGTGATTAACTTCCTCTGTTCTACCGCTGTAAACTCCTACTCATACTTCGAAAACCTGTTCAGGCCTGACCTCTCAGAAGTCTTCCTCCAACACCCCTCTTACAGCTGCTTCTCTTGGTGTATAAGTAACCAGGGTGCCTCCTACACAGTTTGGGGTACAAATGTTATGCCTCTCAGTTCATCCCTAAAGTGCAAATGCTCAAAACCTCACAAACCTGTCATAGGTGTATCCCAGAAGTCCAAACTATCCTACCTCCAATGCCTTCTCCTTCATGCATACAGGATTTTCTGTGCTTAAGAGGTATCTGAAAGGGAGTCTAGCGACTCAGTCTAATGGCTGAGGCAGAAGGGTGAATGTGGCAAAACTGGCCATGTGTCTCTGATTCCTGGAAGGTGCTTGGCTTATTTTCTGGGGTGGGCCACCCACAGTCCAGAACTCTCTAACAGGAAGTGCTCCTGACCAAATTCCCAGTGAGATGAGGCAGTGAGGATTAATGGATTACAGCTACAAGAAGCCTAGGCACTAGCTGCTGCATGTGAGGTGGCTCAGGGGTTAAGGCAGCAAAGCTGTTTACAGAAGCAAAGTAAAGTAAAGAGACAACGCCTTGTCCCCATGGGGAACCTGTCCAGTAGGGTCAGTGCAGTGTCAGAATCTGAGCCTGAGTAAGGCCCGTCCAGCCTGTCCCAGTGCACCTTGATTCCATGGACCTTAGGCTCTGCCAGTTTGGGCCCCAGGTGTCAGATTTCAAAGTAATGAGTTCTTTGCAGGATCTGGAGGGCTAATCAGAACCTTGGCTTCCCCACTCTGAGGATTTAGAGCCATCATCGTTCTATCTCCCTTTAAAAAAAAAAAAGTCTAAACACATAGATTTCCTGATACATTTCTTGGTAAACAACTGGAGCTACTTACTTGACCCCCTATCCAGTAAGGATGTGAGAGACTCACCAATTCCAAAATGGTTTTTTAGTTTAGTTTTGTTTTTGTCCCAGCCTATACAGATATAGTCTCACTCTAGTATATCACTGGTAGACATCTTTCTGGTGAAGAAACCCTACCAAATATGTGTTACACTGTCTTCTAATTTTTTTTGATTCCTACCTCCTTACTGAGTCTTGAGCTTTTAGATGGTAAGATTATGTTTTTTATCTCTATATCCCTAGCACCTAGCAGATTTTCCTAACATGGTAATAGTGGTAGCCATAATTACGGTGATAATAGTAGTAATAAGTCACTATCGAGTGCTTGTTCTGATCCAGGCAGTGCACTGAATATGTTATATGAATGATCTTACAAGGTAGGTACCCATATCCTCATTTTTATAAGTGAGAAATCTGAGACTCAGGTCAAGAAACTTTCCCAAAATTACACAGCTAATAAGTGGCAGAATTGTGCTTGATACCTCTTTGTTGAATTTAACTGTGCCCTAATTACTGAAAATCGAAATATATAAAACCAGCCAATTATTAATGGTGAACATTTCCCTTACTCGTTAGAGGAAAATGCCCTCTCTCCACTCCAAGTTCCCATGGAGAGGACTGTTTCCTGGCTCTCTCAGAGATGTAACCATTTTACCACTGATGTTATAAAGTAAATTTAGCCAGAGTAACATAGAATACTGGGCTTAGCTCTGCCACCTTTTTTTCTTTGGGGAGATATAGCCCAAGGGAGAATTAATCTCTGCTCCCTCCCCCTCACGGGGGCTGGGGTCCTGTCTGCTCTGAGCCCAGTGCTGCTTTCGAGCTGATGGAGACAGCTTTTGATTCTGGGATTCAGTATTAGCCCAGCACACCTCTACCAGACCTAAAGTCCCTCCTTCCAACCTAACCACCTGTTTCACTCTTTGTTTTCCTCCTCAACTTTTCAGAAGTAGTGAAGAGCCAAGCTATTTCCTGGGCTCCCTTTGAGAGCTCTCCTGCACTCCCAAATCATCAAGGGGGGGGGGGGTTAAAGTTTTTACTTTAAACAGTCCACAGAGTAAAGACTGGCTAGAGAAGCCAGAACAGGGAGTGATGAGAAAGAAGCAGAAATCAAAAACTTCATGCTAAGAGTCAGCTGAAGATCACTCAAAATTAAAGAGAAGGTGCTGGGCAAATTAATGTGTAGGTAAATGACAAATAGCAATTTACAACTCGCTTGACCTCCTCGAATCTTGATGCACTTCCACTATCTGAAATGAAGCGTACTGCTCCCCATGGGCACGCCAAACCCTTCAGATGATAGGGATATGGGCCTTGTAGGGGACCTCCCCTGGTCAGGAGGAAAGGGAGATGCCCTTCCAGGCCCATTCTCTGACTTTCCTAGATTTCCGCAAACAGGCTGACAATTCAGGAAGACTGCCAACGACCTGCTTCACTCTCACTTCTAGAGCTATCTGCTTGCGTTCTCCATCTGGGTGTTTCACAGGCATTTCAAACAAAGCCTGAGCAAAACAGGTCTCTTGATTTCTACCCAAAAATCTGTTCCTTTCCTCATCTTCCCATCTCAGTAAATGGAACCAGTACCCTCTTTTAGGTTCCGCTAATTTCCTCCTACCCCACATCCAATCCATCAGCAAGTTCTGTTGTCTCTGCCTCTAAAATAGATCCTGAGTCTGTTCACCTCCTGCTAGCTCCTTGTCCAAAGTAAGCACCTTGGCCCAAGTACGTGTTATGTCTCACCCGGACTCTTAAAAGAGACTTCTAAAGTAATAGCCTCCCTGCTTCCGTTCTTGCCGATCTGTAATCTAACCAGCAGCCAGGTGAGCTTTCAAAATGAAAATAAGTCATTTCATTCCCCTGCTTAACATTATTCAATGGCTTCTAAATGCCCTTAGAATAAAGTCCAAAGTTCCTCTCTCTGAATTAAAGTTCTGTGTCATATAACCCCTGCCTTCTGTGTGACTTCATCCCTTGGCTTTCTCTACCTCATGTGCCATGTCCAACCAAGCCTGTTTCCACCTCAAGACCTTTGTCCAGTACTTGTGACTCTTCTTGGATCACTCTTTCTTCAGATCTTCTGGTCACGTAGGGTAAATATCACCTCCTTGGGGGAGACCTTCCTGCCTACTTCCTTCCGTCTGAAGTAGGTCGACCCCTCCCTCCCTCCCCTCCCTCTGGTCACTCTGTCTCACCTTCTTCTTTTTTTTTAAGCTTTTTCATTTTTTCATAGTATTTATCACTATCTGAACTTATCTTGATTTGCTAATTGTCTACTCATTATATTTATTATCTGTATTCCTCAACCAAAGTGTAAGCTCCATCAGGGCAGGAATGCTACCTGTTTTGCTCACTGATTTCCCAAGGTCTAAAATAGTGCCTGGCCATAGAACACTCTCTGATACAAAGGAAGCATTAGTTTAATGAAATTATGAAAATGAAAAGAAAAGACAAAAACGAATCTAGACATAGACATATTCTGGCTCAAAAATACAGATTTCTGATCTTGTCATAGATTCATCTTTGAAGGTCAGCCTCATTCCACACTCAAACATCCACCCAAATGGCCTGAGCAGCTCTGAAGGGTCTTCTACACCTTCTTTGTCTTTGGCCTGATTCTGACAGAGTTTATCCTACTTTCTGCTTACATCCTAGTGGCCTTGAGTTCATTCACAGCCAAAGACAAGAATCAGTCTTTAACGCACCAACAACTCTTCAACCCAGAACACTTCTCCCCTAATGATTGCCTGGTCCACTTAAACCTGACATCGACTGAGACTCCAACCTCTAACCCCTCAGCCCCTCCCCCA